ACCATGGGACAAGAGGTCTGTGAAAGGAGAGTTGACCACAGGAAAGGGGACTACAGGAGGATAAGGGACTATCTGGGAAAAGTGCAGTGGGAGGAAGAAATTGTAGGAAAAACAGTTCAAAATATGATGGACCTAGTCATACGGAAATGCCAGGAGGCTGAAGAGAGATTTATATCAACAGTAAAGGGAAAAAATAATAGGGAATATAATAACCCATTGTTTAATAGACAGTGTCAGGAAGCAAAAATAGGCAGCAGGCGAGAATGGAGGAAGTACAAAAGACAAATGACAGAGGACAACAGGATCAGATACAACAGAGCAAGGAACGATTACAAGACTAAGGAAAACAGAGGGGGCATATCAAGTGGCAAGAAAATCTGCAAGGCAATGAATGCCAGTTTCCATAGAGTGTTCACAACCGAGCCTGATCAGCTCCCATTGTTAGAAGAGATTACCCTAGATGAAAGACTATCAGATATAGAGGTGACAGCAGAGGAGGTAATGAAACAGTTGACAACACTGGATGCAACTAAAGCGGTTGGACCAGACAAAGTATCACCATGGATACTAAAAGAGGCAGCACAGGCCCTCGGCTTGCCTCTGGCAATGATCTTTAATGACCCCCTGCACCCAATATTACCCCAAAAATTTGCAACGTAAATTGTATGTTTTTTTTTTTTTTGTCTTACTAGTATCATAAAACTGTACACATCCTCAACTTTTGGCCCCCTATGTATTCCAAAACGGCCCCCAGTTTGGGAACCAGTGGTCAAGGACATGTTTGAGTATACGTTTTGTTAGTATGTTACCAACTGGTTGGAAGCAGCTGACCCTTGTGTCCGTGGATGTTGATGATATTACTGAGCTTTGTGGGTTACTTGCTCTCGCTGTGCTCCACTCCAATTAAGCTCTTTTTTTGTTTATTTGTTCTTATATCACACACTTTGATAATAAATATCTTGGGGATTACATTGTAACATTGTGTATGAAACTTATTATGAAAAACACTCCTATCCATCGATTTATTGTTTTCAAAGGATATGATGAAGGCTTTCAGAACAAGGGGGGGGGGGGAGGTGTCAATCTCCATGACAGTTTGTTGTTCTGGTGCTAATGACATGTTTAAGTCCTGGTGAGTCCGAGTGGGGTTCTGTGGATAAGTTAAGTATTTACTTCAATTTAAATGCAAGTGGACTGTATATTGGTTATTGTTGTCATATTATAGTGGACTGTATAACATAGGTAAATTTAAATCTTCCATACAATTCCCACAGTGGGAGGATTATTATAATGTTACCTAATAAATTTTGGTCTTACTGTTTATCGATTAATCTGTTAAAATTAAGTGTAAACTTTCTACTCTGAATTCAATCCCAAAGCTACTTGGACCGTAGACAAACATATTATTACACTTTAGAACGAAATTACTAATATACGTCCACAAGCCTACTGCTAGAGGAATGTATTCAGAGTTATACTTAGAAATTATAATTGAACAAATTTATTTGCTGTACAATCTGAATTGTGCTAGTAAAAGAGCGTTCTTAGTTGGTAAGATGACTCCTTAAAGTGTAGTCACACACATGGTCAGCAGTAACCCAGAGAAAATTCTAAACACGCTGTGCACGGTCAGCGTCCCTGGGGGTAATGGCTGCCTCTCAAATCACAGCCACTGGGAATACCTTCTGCCGGCAAGGTATTATTAATGCCAGAAATACAAATTCATAAAAACACCTCACTGTGATCCTCAAATCAAATAGTTTTCTTCTTACATACTTACTGGTGTTTTGAGAATCGCATGTTCATAACCGGCGCCAGTATTTCACTAACATAATCAGTTCTGATTAATAAACTGAGAGTTAGATACGTAGCCTGGGTAGGAAATACAGCCATTGGGATAGTCGGCTAAGATTCATATTGCAGCATAAGCGTCCAACAGTGAGTTTAAGGACACTGCGAGTGTCATGATTCTCCGTTTTGTTGGTCTGGATTACAATAGGCGATTCTTCCTCCCCACACTCACACTCTCGTTCATGTGTGTCAATAGTTACTAAATTGGGAGTAGAGTCTTTAAATTCAAAGTACTACAGAGTTCAAATTAGATTAATTTGATTTATTTTTAAGGTATTAAATTTAATCTGCACTTTAGTTCATTAACGAGATTTAAGAGAAGTATTTCAGTTATTCAACAGTCTCGTGGTGAAGTGGAAGTGGGTAATGTCAGAAATATTGCATTAGCCCATCTGCAGATTTTAATTAAAGTTATTACTTAAGAACACAGGACGAGTCCTCATAGCGTATTATTATTATTATTAGATTGATGTTTGTGTTGGTGGGTTGTTGGGGGCAATAAGTTCTACAGGCTCCTTTGCAAAAGTTGTACTGAGATCCAAGGTGTCATTGTTGGCTGGCTAGACCTAACCTCTCTCCTCTGTTGACCAGACCACACACTAGAAGTTGAAGGGACGACGACGTTTCGGTCCGTCCTGGACCGAAAGTGTGTGTGTGGTTCTAGTGTGTGGTCTGGTCAACATACTTCAGCCACGTTATTGTGACTCATCGCCTGCTCTCTCCTCTGTTTGACAAGCATATTTTTTAAACTTGCAATTCCATTTGACTCTGTGATGCTGGTCGGCAACATATTCCATTGGTCTACCATTTTAATCACAAGAAAAACAGAAAAACGATCACAGATTTTCTACACGCTCACTGCGGGAACAAACGTGTTCGCTCCCACGGGCCACAGAGATCACAGGTGTGATAATCAGCAAGGCGCATTGCACTAGGATGTCAGCCCCACTATCATCCTGAACATGCTCGGGAAAAGATGGAGGTTTTCCTTATTAAGTAATGAGCATTGTAGAGTATAGCACCATCAACCTCGAGCCACTCCACGATGACAGCAAAATCCACTGCGACCCATAGAGGGGGTGGTACAGAAACTTAGCTGCCGACCCAACCTCCTATGTTCCAGGGCCCACCTGTACCATGTTGCATAGAGTAAAGTTTCGCCTTCTCCTGGAGAACCTCGTTCTCCCTACTACCGAGATTTTAGCACATGTCTTCACCGGCTGACATCCTGGAGACACAAAAGGGTGTTCACCTGCTCTTCTCCAGCAACTTGGACCTTAAGAAGATATTCGCCACCACCACCACGATCAATTTTCTTGCAAGACACGATCTTTTCTTGCAAGACACCGGCCTCATCCTCCCGCTACCACGACACAACCTGGCGGACAGGACTGTGTTCGCCAGAAGTCTCAGCATATGGATCACCGATCGCGGCAAGGACGACATTGTCGCCAGTATCAACACCCAGAACCCGACGCTGACAGTGGTAGTGGCCAACACCCTTACCAATTCAGAAGACAACCGCAGACCAACATTGAAGGTGACCTTCCACACGGCCATCACAGCGACCCACGCCACGGACTACGTACTTAAGTGCTCAGGAATCACCATACCACCCATCCCTGTGACCAAGGAACGCTTCATGGAGCTCCGTCAGTACCTCAAATGCTACCAGTACTCCCACTACATCAGAAGTGTGCACAGAACAAATGCAGAAGTGCAGCATCTGTGCCCAGAAGCACCTCCGCACAGACTGCACATCCTACCCACCGATGCTGCCTACTTTGAATCACCTACACTCTACGGTCTCACCGGACTGTCTCCATCGACAGGAGGAAATCAAGAAGATGATAGCTAACACTATCACCACCTCACATCGACCAGGAATCCCACTCATGTCAGAATTCCCGGTCTTTCCGGTGAACACATCTGTGACTCTGTTACAGCCCCGCTACTGTGCCAGGTAAGTCCACTATGGGCTCACCATAGCCTGTGCTATTTCAAACTTTTTTTCCGAATAGCTGAATATAAAACAACAACAACATCTGTGACTACCTCACCACTACCTGGTCCCTGGGGACGCCACACCCAGCCGACTGCACCACCTCTGACCACACCACCATCAGCCTAGCACACAACCTCCACCAAGACCACCCTGCTACCAGTCCTGCTCCACCTTGCCGAGGAAATGGCAAATAACGATATCAGCCGCTACATACACATTATCAACAGGCTGCTCAACGCGATTGGATTCCCGACTGCTGTGGTACCCGACGACCTTCTGCCAACTCCCACAGCTGCTGCTCTGGTTTTCGACTGCTCACCAGGCCCAACACCCGGACCAAAACTGGGATGAGCCCCACCAAGGGCCTCCTCCTCTGATGAGGACGACGACTCGACATCCGCAAACGTAGACGGACAACCCGACGAAGACGACGGCCTTCTCCAGGTGACCTAGGGAAGGCCACCTGTTACCGATACCCAGGTGACCGAGTACGTCGACCCGGAAGATGAAGGCGACAGGTAATACGACACGAGCCCCTGTTATGCCCCTCTACATTCTCCTCGACGCAAAAAAAACGTTCAATGGCAACAAAAGCACCAACCAACAGCTGGCACACAACTGCAACTGGATAATCAGCACCAAGAACCCACACCCTTATGTATGTCCACGCCTTCACCATACATTAACATCACCATGCTGAAGACGGAATACCGCGACCCAGACGTTTACAAAACATATCCTGATGGATAAACCGAATTGCTCATCGAAGACGACGACCCTGAAGGAACCAAACTACCAAAAGTATTGTGCGCACTACTCAAGCGTCGCCTCGTACAGTTGGCTGATAACCTCGCAGTCGACCCTCCTCCGGGACATATAATGCGAGCAGCTATGAAGACTATCCATCCACCAATCTACAGCATTAGCTGCAAGTCCTATCCACGGTTAGGTGGATACTCAAGATCTCAAGATAAAGGTTGTTTGGCCACTTAGCTGTACCTCCTTCCGACTTGTATACACATCCTCGCCCCAGCCTTTCATCCCCTGCTTACCAGCCCTATAATCCTTGGATCCGGCTCCATCTTGCTACCAAATTTAAGGTTCACCTTATCCTTCCTGAATCTGAACTTCTGTTCAGATTCAGGGTATGGACTGTTACACGGTTTGGCCGAGCCTGATAGTTTAAAGATTTTGCTCATATTTTTCCTGTTGATACCCCTTATCCACTTGAAGCTCTTGATCATGTTTCCCCTCGTTGCGTTTCTCCCCAGAGAGTGCAATCCGAGCCCCTTAACAGTATGGTAGGACCTGAATGCCTCTTCTTATGGGAGGACGTGAATACCAGGAATCAGTCCTGTCATCCTATTATGGCTTTATTATAGGGAATCCAGGGTCACTTCACTGACCAGAACTGCAATATTTTGATTGTTTTTTACCTTTTTAAAGATCTTTCAGTTTAATGTTAATAATTCATTAAGTTTACGATAGATCAATAATTCACTATTGAAGATAATATATCGTGCTCTATAGAGTGGTATACAAATAATTATATTTTGTTACAGAATATATATATCCATAAATTCTGTCTTTCATTTTCATTTTAATGAAAGCGCAGCAACATTTTGTTACATTTACTGTACCGTAATTTTGGACCATTTATTCGAAAGGCATTACAGCTTTGGTTAATTTCTACCTTGAGGACACCCAAGATATTTTTAATTATCGTGTAGTCTTGGAGTTGTGTTCCAGCGTCCGAGAAACATACCATTAGTGAGGCATAAATAAGATACTGTGTAATGAGTGAAACTTGAGGCTCATTGTTACGTATTTTAATAAGCATGACTACAGTTTTTTAATGTTATTTAATTTTTTGTGTTGTATTGCATATTGAAGTTTATTTTGTTGCTGTGTGTAAGCCTAAGAAAATTACAGATTAGCAAGTCTAAAATCTCACATATTCGAGCTACGGAGAGAATTCTGAAGGGTTTGAGAGCTCACCATCTCACAGCGCACGTTCGTTGAAAAATCTCAACAGCTTTTTCATAAAACTAATCCAGTTTAACAACCATGTTCATATTTCTGGAAACAACAGCCTACAAAGGATTTCGAGCCGATGTGGTGCCTATGGATTTTTCTTAGATTTTTTTAGGTAATGAGACCAAAGGTTGGCCTGGAAACTTCAAGCACACTGAATTAATGATGAAAAACTGGAATAGATAATACAATGATTAAAACAAACTAAAGGGTTGCTCTAAATGGAATGAAATCTAACAAAAAAACTATGAGTTGAGTTCTGCAAGGATAGATTTTTGAGTCATCCATTTTTATTGCTTTCACAAATGATATAAAGAGCTATAGAAAAGCGGGCAGCAAAACAAGTGTTGCAGACATATAATGGTATCTATAGGAACAACAAAAGAGGTTCTGACAAATGGCTTTTGTCAGAGGAATGACAAATGTTCTTCAGTCTGAAAACATGCAAAACTTTGTATTTAGGACATAACAGTACACATCAGTTACCATATTGACCCAAGATTGGAAATAAATAAACCTGGAAGTAGTCTCCCAGTTACTAAAAACTGATCAACAGTAGGATCTATGGCAAGAGAAAAAGACAACTTTAGGAATAACCAAACAAACCAGTGAATTCGAAGAAGTAAAATAGGGCATCTAGCTTTATACACTACATGTATTCGTGCATTACGAGACCTCAGAAGCAAAAATGCATAATTGCACCTCAGCTAGTTCAGCTGAGGTGAATAACTCATAAATAACACGAGAATCATCCCAATACTAAGTCAACTCTAGTGCCACTCAGGATTAAGGGCCTCAGAAACAATTATACAAACAAGACACGACAATTTGATCTCCATCAGGGCCTTTAAAATGTCCAAACACTTCAAAATGTTCAACTTAACTGACTCAAAAGGCAAACGTTTCAAGCTCAACATGCCACAATGTTGGAAAAACAACCAGAGACAAATTTCATCATGGATTTTCTTGCTGAAAGAAACACAAGTACTAAGACAGTGCTAGAGTTGAAAATACGGACGTTAAAAATCCTCAAAAATATCCAGATTGAATTAAAATAGAAAAACTCACATGGTTGAAGAGAGGGATGGCTGGGAAGTCAACACAACTCAAAAGTTTGTAATATTTCTCTTAAACCCCTATTTCTCAACCATAAAACTTTGTACATTTTTTATCTCTTTAATTTTCAGGTCCACTGCCATCTCCCCGCCTCCTCTCTCTCATTTTCTGTTAATAAACTTTAATTTGGCCCCTCGATAGAAATGAGCTGCATGCAGCAGCATTCACTTGTCTTGGCATTCAGCATTCTGAATATACAAAAATGAAATAACTTTAAAAAAGTGAAAAAATATTGTTCAGAAGTCTTAGAGAAACACACAATATGGCAACTGGATACCGTTGGTGAGCTGCTCGCCCCTGTGCTCCTAGCAATAACTGGGGATCTGGATGTAAAGTAATTGGCAGATGTGGTTCTGTGATAAAGATAATCGCATTCTCTCTCTTCATCCAGACCCGACCATTATGTTTCCCGAGCCTTCTCACATCATAATGTATAATCCAACGCTATCATAGTGAACTGAGATCATCGGCTCTTCAGAGCTGCTAATCTGATCTCTTCCCGCTGGCCGCTGAGCCCCTGGGCCCGGGCCGCTAGGACGAGCCGTCACTGTGGCCGGTGCTCACTAACACAGGAGTCAGCAGCTGGAGATTCCAAGACATGATATCCAATGCACAGCATAAGTAAAATTGAGAAATTTTAGTGTCTCTGAATTCATAAGAAAATTTATGTAAATCTGAATGGCTCAATAACCACAGGTTACACAAGCACCTGATTTTTTGTGTCTCAAGTGAACTGAACCTCAGTACTAACCCGTTTTTATCTTGGTAAGTCGATAATATACCATCGGCTTTCATAAAGGCATCAATCAACCTGCAAAGAAGAAAACTAATTAAAACGTTAATCACAGTGAAGCTCTTAGCGGAGTGAGAACAGTTGTGCTCCAGTGGTTCAGTGGGCTGCGTCGGCGAGTGATGCTTGGCACCTGCTCGGGTTTGTCTTACTAAATTACCTGCCGAAAAAGTAAATTGTTTTCACATTTACTCCACCAAAATTTGAACACTATTGACAATAAGCTAAAAATGTTATTATAGGGAATTTTAAATCCCACTGAAACTGATGATAATTAGCAATTAATTTTTGAATGCTACTCTTGTAAGTAAAATTGAAAAATTTTGACCTTTATATTTCTTCGGCATATTCTTGTGTAATCTGTTTAGTGCGTCAAAGTTCTTATGCAGTGAATGTGCTCATTATTTTAATAAATACTTGTGTGTTGTTAAAAGCCACTTTTATTACTTTGTGTATGTTATTGTCTGAATAAAGAAATAAAAACTTATATGACTACTGCCGACTAGGTAGAGGTTGAGGCTGTGTTCATTCAGGAGTTGACACCAGTAATCAACATCCAGATGAATTTGATTCCATTAATACTAACACTTGTTTCCTTTGATATAACCTTGCCATTATCCAACTTAAGATAAAATACACAATACGGTGAGTATATCTTTTTATATATATATATATATATATATATATATATATATATATATATATATATATATATATATATATATATATATATATATATATATATATATATACAAGAGTTCTTACATGCCTGTATAGCCACTAGCATGCATAACGTTTCGGGCAGGTCTTTAATCTTAAATTTCCCGGGAATAAGACCCGTCAAATTTCTAATCAGTCTTTCATGAAGCACCATTCATCTGCGTGGAATATGATGGAATAGAATAAAAGCAAATTTGTCTTACATGAGCGGCCCTTAGTAAATACCAAGCTGTGAATAATTTATTAATCTTCATTTTCAAGATTTAAAAGACTGGCTTTTACGATTATTAATTCTAGAAATTTTCTTTAAATAGACGTCAAGATAATTTACTGATAGTTATACCTGTGATCAATCTCCCTTCTTAAAAACTTATAACATATTAGCAACCCACCGTGACTGGTACTCTGCTCGACTCTAATGATTTATTGAATTTGCAAGACGAGAGCTCATAAAGTTCTTCTTTACATTCTTTAAGCACCACAGGAAACACTTCGTCTGACCCTACGGTCTTGTTTGGCTTCTATTTTTCTCTTAGTTTAAGAACTTCCTCCCTGGTCACCGCTAATCTAGTCAACTTGTTCCCTTCACACCAATATAGATTTGTTCAGCCTTATGCATACACTTTTAAGTTCTTATCTAGTAAATACAGACAAAACATTTGTTTAAAATACTAATCTCTGTCATTATCAGTTACCTGACCTGTCTCAGTTTTTAGCGGCCCTGTTCTAATCTCTGTTTGATATAACTGAAAAAAAATTCTTTAGGATATCCCTTTGCTTGTCGTGCAATATGAACTTCATAGTTTCCTTTTTGCTTTTCTTATTTCTTTTTGAACATTTCTCACTAGTTTAACAAATTGTTATCCTAAACTGGCTTCTGAATTATTAATCCTATTGGACAAAGCTTTCTTCTGACAAATATGGTTCTTGAAACCCATGTGGCTATCCTATTTTTCCCCCCATGGGGCGGGCTTATTGGGAAGCGCCACTCCTCCCGTGAGTACACACACCGCCATAGCAGCATATACAACACCCCCCAGTCGGGTATTGGGGGATGAACAACCCGATGGGTTGTTCATCCTGCCGCTTGTACCCAAACACAGTTGCGACTTGCTTAACTGTCTCAAGTGAACAGCTTATCAAACATGAGATTAATATTTGTCGACCCTAAGGTTTACGTTATCTTCCGGGTGCAAAATAGGGAAATCATTTAAGAACAAGATCTATATATGACAAATAATGTTTTCTCTAACTCAAATAATGTGGGGTTTATTATGCTACACATATTTATAGTGACTCTTAGATGCTCACATTTTCTCAGGTAGTGGTCAAGGCGGTGTCCATCACTCTCACCACAGATTTTGCAACTCTGTTGCTCAGCTGTTATGTCCACCCGAATCTCGATGGATATTTATGTCCAAGACGAATTCTCGCTATTACTGTTCCTCTCCCGCGGCCACCTCGAAGTTACAGTCCTGCTCCTGTGCCAGGTAAGTCCACTACGGGACACCATAGTTTCATAGTTTAAAAGTTCCAAGTGCTATTTGGAACTTTTGTTCTGAATAACTGAATATAAAACAACAACAACAACATCCCGCGGCCACCTCTTCGTCCGTAATGACTGGGATTGCCAGCTGCAACCACATTGTACCAGCGTGCAGATTGACTGGTTTGTTCTTCTATCTTTACCTTCTACCGTTACCTTGTCACGGTGAAGTTGCCTGATGATACCTCTAATATGTAGCAGTCTTAGGTATGAAGTATTCAATATGGTCTCCATCAGCGCCTTCAGCAGCCAGCACATCTGCTCGTTCATTTCCACGGATTCCAACATGGGAGGGGTGCTACAGAAATTTTATCACTTTTCCCTGATTGGTTGGTACCCTCACAGCTCTCTAGATTTCAGCGACTATCACAAAGTTTTTGCCTGTTTTTTACTAAGGTTTTGTAGTTCTGCTTTTAGTCAGTGGAGATCACAGCACTGTTAGTGTTTTTTAATACGTGCTTTTTATTCATTTCCGCTTTGAAAAGTATTATTCCTAATTACAGAGTATACTGCACCAGCCCTGCTATAAGTAGTAAAGTATTTCAAGACACTTTTGCCTCATTTATTATAATAATAATAGTTTATTTAGGTAAAAGTACATACATACAAAATGAGTTACAAGCAGAATGTTGGATTTCTATATAGAGCAAGTATATACTATGCCTAAAGCCACTTATACGCACAGCATTTCGGGCATGAAAAGGAAAGAAACCTTAAAAAAAAAAACAGTACAAAACATTCCCAATACAAACATAGCTGCATTCTCAGATAACCTAAGGAATCTTATCATATACAACAACCTCAACAAAAACCACAGCATTCTGGGAGGTGGCTTCAATATTGACCTGCGTCGTCAACAAAATAACCCTCAAGTCGACTATTTCCTAAACAGCATGAACTCCTGTATGCTAATCCCCACAATCACCAAGCCCACCCGATTCACTCAAACATCCGCTACTACCCTGGATCATCTATGGACTAACATAATAGCTCCCCCCTTGCATCTGATATAATCACTGACAGAACAACTGACCACTATCCTGCCTTCCTTGTAGCGAAGATGGACATAACACCACCAGCTAACAAGAAAGTTATCTTTAGGTTACACAGTGAAGCAGCAATAGGCAATCTCACAAAAGAACTCCACAATATAAACTGGGAATCTGAATTTAAAAATACACTGGATATAAATTCATTAACTAATCTCTTCCTTTCCAAAATTCTAAGCCGTTACAATACCCATTGTCCTCTCCTCACCAAGCAAGTAACTGGCAAAAGGTTAAATAATCCCTGGCTCATAAATGGCATACTCAAAGCAATTGACAAGAAACATGAATATGAAAAAACTTAGGGTTGGCCTAGTTGCAAAGGGAGTAGTTAAGAGGTACTCGTCAGTGCTTACCAGTATAATAAGAAGAGCAAAACTTTCCTATCATGAGACTAGATTCAAAGAAGCAAAAGGCAACATGAAAAGCACATGGAGAGCCATCTTTAACATCCTAGGAGCTAAACAACAGTCACATAACCAGATAAAAATCTCCAAGGATGGTTACACACCTGCAACAGATCTAGAAACAGCAATTGAATTTAATAGCTTCTTTTCATCGATTGGCGCTAACCTTGCCCGAAAAATCCCACGACTCAGACACTTGTTACAACATATCTTTCAGGCAGCTACCCAAACTCTTTTCTCCTCTCACCAGTCAGCCCTACAGATGTCGTGTTCATCCTTCACTCACTAAAAACCAAAGTTGGGAACATTAGAGAAATACTATCCATGGTATACAAGAGCGCCTCCCATGTCCTTGCGCCACCCATTGCTTTACTGCTCAACAAATCTCTAGAGTGTCAAACCTTCTCTGATATCCTTAAAATGGCAGGAGTAACGCCAGTTCATAAAGGAGGCAATCCGGCAGACATAAACAATTACAGAACAATATCAAAGCTACCTATATTATCAAAAAATTGAAACAGTTCTTTACATACAGCTCTACTCCTATCGCATATAATTCAACATACTAAGTCCCTGTCAGTTTGGCTTCCGCTCCCAAAAGAGTACCAATGATGCCATTATTAGTCTGCTTGACTTACTCTACTCAGCCCATGACAAAAATGAGTTTCCGACTGGACTCTTCATTGACCTGAGAAAGACCTTTGATACTGTTAATCACAACTACCTCTTACTTAAACTCCACCATTATGGACTCCGAGGCCTTGCCCTGAACTATATTCGATCCTATCTTAGTGATAGACACCAATATGTACCCATCAATGATATAACCTCTTCCACTCTACCATTAACCGTAGGGGTGCCACAGGGCTGCATCCTAGGTCCTTCTCTATTTCTTATTATACATCAATGATCTGCCTAATGTTTCTAACATGCTTAAACCTATATTGTTTGCTGATGATACTACCCTTATCTACTCAGACCCCAACCCACTCATATGAAATGATGTTGTAAATAATGAATTAAAAAAAGTCCACTTATGAGTGTCAACCAACAAACTCACACTAAACATAGGAAAGACCTACTACATCTTATTTGGAAGCAAATCTACAACTGCAATTCAGTTTCAGATAGACAATGTCAACATTAGAAATAAAAATGATGGAAAGTTCCTTGGCCTATACTTAGACAAGATACTCAACTTCAGCACCCACATACAACACATAACTAAGAAAGTCTCTAAAACAGTTGGTATACTTTCTAAAATCAGATATTATGTACCTTACTCTGCTCTCCTCTCACTAT